CTTTGCAGCATTTCAGCCATTCCTACACCGCAAAGCAGCACACCCTCCTTGAGCTGCAGTGGCAGAACGGAATTCCACAGCATCGCCTGATCTGCGACGTTGCAACAAGGTGGAATTTCAACCCTACATATGTTAGACCGCCTTTACGAACAGCGAAAGGCCATCACCGATTTCCTGATGTTACAAGCGGATAAAGGTACTCCCCCTGTGTAACTTCGATGTCAGCCATTGGCAGCTCATGCGTGACACCTGCCGCTTGCTCAGGCCCTTTGAGGAGGCCACGCTATTCGTGAGTCGGCAGGACTATGGGATGAACGACGTCATTCCTCTGTTGCACGTCCTGGAACAAATGCTGTTAACAATGGCTGGTCAGGGTGCGGTAGACGTGGCGCACAGATCTCAACGCCACATGACCCCTCTGTGGGGGCAGGACAGGAAGAAGAGGAGGAGGTAGAGGAGGACATTGGTGCTCAGGAATTATTGAGTGAAATGGGTGGTTTTTCCACTCAGCGGACAGGAGTGGAGGAGCAGGAGCATCTGGTAGAGGAGGAGGAGACAGAGGACCCAGACGCACCGTGGCAGTATGCTGTGGAGATGGAGGCAGGGAGGTCCCTCGCATTCCTTGGCACAAATGGCCCATAGCATGCTCGGTAAGATTGCTTGCGTAGCGACAGCCGAATAATAACCATCAGAGAGAGGGATGACTTTTGGCTGTCCACCTTGTTGGACCCTTGCTACCGTTCAAAAATGGTGGCCTTTTTTCACACCTGCTGAGAGGAGGGCAAAATAACGTACTATAAAAACCACCTATGTAGTCAGTTGGTCTCTGCCTTTCTGCGCCAACGTCCAACCTCAGACACTGTAGGCCCTGTGCGCTCGCGTTATGCTGCCATGGCAGCAGGGGAGGGGTGGGGTGGTAGGAGCAGTGGCAGCTCCACCAGCAGCGACTGCCTCAGTCTGCAGTCGATGATGAGTAGCTTTCTTCACCAGCGCAGTGAGGAAACTACTAACCAGCCGCAGCAGCAGCAGCAGCATCAGGTGGACCTGGAGCAGGACCTCAAACAACAGGCTTGGGCCTACTTGGACAGCACCCTGCCAACCGAGGTAGACAATCCCCTTGACTACTGGGCAACGAAACTTGACCTTTGGCCCCAACTAGCTGAATTTGCCCTTGAAAGGCTGTCATGCCCGGCCAGTAGCGTGGCATCGGAGCGCGTGTTTAGTGCGGCAGGAGGTATTGTAACTCCGCGGAGGACACGACTGTCCACCCAAAGTGTGGAGAGACTCACGTTTGTGAAAATGAATCAGGCGTGGATTAGTCTGGATTTCAAACCACCAGTTCCTGACACAACTGACTAAATCCGCCATGAACATGCCCCAAACATATTATTAGGGACAAATAGGCCGCTGTCTTTACAACTTTATAATTCCATGCAGTATATAGCCCTATCGGCCACTTTCTGGCATCCAGTTGCTGTAGCCCCCATCACCACACTGTGCCATGGGCCCCTGTACCGCCTTCTCATACTGCTGCCAGATCCATCCTCTGCCATGTGCGTCTTTGTCGTCTGCTCACGCTGCTGGGTTCCAGTTTTAAACCTAGGCCGTGTATGGCTTCCGAATACTGCTGCCTCCACCGCCACCCTGCGCCAAGTGCCTCTGTCGTCTGCTCACGCTGCTGACGGCTTCCGCTTTTTAACCTAGGCCTGTGTATGGCTTCCGAATACTGCTGCCTCCACCGCCACCCTGCGCCATGTGCCACTATCAGGTCTCCTTACACTGTTGGTGGGTTCCATTTTGTGATAGGGTGCTGTATGGCCTTCCATTGCTGCTGCATCCACCGCCACCCTGCGCCATGTGCCTCTGTCATCTGCTTACGCTGCTGATGGCTTACGCTTTTTAACCGAGGCCTGTGTTTGGCTTCCGAATACTGCTGCCTCCACCGCCACCCTGCGCCATGTCCCTCTGTCGTCTGCTCACGCTGCTGACGGCTTCCGCTTTTTAAACTAGTCCTGTGTATGTCTTCCGAATACTGCTGCATCCACCGCCCACCCTGCGCCATGTGCCACTTTCAGGTCTCCTTACACTGTTGGTGGGTTCCATTTTGTGATAGGGTGCTGTATGGCCTTCCACTGCTGCTGCCTCCACCGCCACCCTGAGCCATGTGCCTCTGTCGTCTGCTCACGCTGCTGACGGCTTCCGCTTTTTAAACTAGTCCTGTGTATGTCTTCCGAATACTGCTGCCTCCACCGCCACCCTGCGCCATGTGCCACTTTCAGGTCTCCTTACACTGTTGGTGGGTTCCATTTTGTGATAGGGTGCTGTATGGCCTTCCATTGCTGCTGCCTCCACCGCCACCCTGCGCCATGTGCCTCTGTCGTCTGCTCACGCTGCTGACGGCTTCCGCTTTTTAACCGAGGCCTGTGTTTGGCTTCCGAATACTGCTGCCTCCACCGCCACCCTGCGCCATGTACCTCTGTTGTCTGCTCACGCTGCTGACGGCTTCCGCTTTTTATACTAGTCCTGTGTATGTCTTCCGAATACTGCTGCATCCACCGCCACCCTGCGCCATGTGCCACTTTCAGGTCTCCTTACATTGTTGGTGGGTTCCATTTTGTGATAGGGTGCTGTATGGCCTTCCATTGCTGCTGCCTCCACCGCCACCCTGCGCCATGTGTCTCTGTCGTCTGCTCACGCTGCTGACGGCTTCCGCTTTTTTAACCGAGGCCTGTGTATGGCCTTCAATTGAAGCTGCTTTCTGCTCCGCCACTCTGCCATTGGACTCTTGATAGTCGTCTCCCCACGCTGCTGCTGGGGGGACTTTTTAACATATAGGTCTCTGTATGGCCTTCAATTTTAGCTGCTTACACTCCGCCACTCTGCCATGGGCCCCTGTACCGACTCCTCATGCTGCTGCCAGGCCCGTAATCTGTCATGGGCCCCTGTACCGCCTCCTCATGCTGCTGCCAGGTCCAGAGTGTGTCATGGGTCCCTGTACGGCCTCCCATTGCTGCTGTCTCCATCGCCACACTCTGCCATGTGCCACTTTCAGGTCTCCTCACACTGCTGGTGGGTTCCATTTTGTCATAGGGTGCTGTATGGCCTCCCATTGCTGCTGCCTCCACCGCCACACTGTGGCTCCACACTCTGGTTTTGGCCCCGTGACTGCCCAAATGAGTGAAGTGTGCGGTGATTCTAAGATCGACGGCACTCATCTGCATGTCATACTGACTGACAGTATTATTTCTCTTCCCCAGCAGACTCCAAGGGCATTTAAATTAAAGGTACAGTGTTCTGCACTAATATAAAGGCTCTCTGAAGCCTAGAAACACCCTTTTTATAAGTTAAATTCGCGGCGGATATATTCGCCTCAAATCGAATTTATTCCGCGAATTCGGCGAATCAGCCGAATCGAATTTTTGAATAATTTGCTCATCTCTAGTTTTTATCATACTCATTGTCTTTTTTTTGTTTTTTTGTCCAGAAGGTGGCACCAGCTGGAAACCTTCATTCAATAGTAAAGCTAAATGTAAGTTTGTATCAAAAATGTATTGATCTTTATAAAGTCACAATTTCTAGTTTTAGTTGCTTTTGAAGCATTTCTGAGTTTTAAAGATTCCTTTCCCAGGGCAGTGAGTTGGTAGGATGTATAGTTGGCATACGCTTGTTGTTTTAGGTATGTGTATCACTCAAGTTATGAAGCAAGGTTTAAAATGGGAGTAAGATGGGTTAAGATGGATCTTGCACCATTAATGGCACCATTTTGTATGCTGACAGGTTTCCTTTAATCATACTCCTTGTGTATTCAGCTAATGTATGTATGTTTGTTTCCCTGTACAAGAGGTAAGGTGGGTTCAATATGTTGGGTAACATTGTGTTATATTTGTGTCTAGTGACTATTTTTCTCTTTTTTTTCCCTACAGGTTGGTTTAAATGAAGATCTTTATAAAGTGTTTTGTTCCACAGGTAGCGAGTGCCTTAGACTTTATGCACAGCAGAGGAATGGTCCATCGGGACATTAAACTGGACAACAACATTTTGCTCATGGACATTGAATGTAAGGAAGTCAAATTAGCAGATTTTGGACTGACGAGGCTCCGGGGCACTCAAGCACCATGTATGGCCTGGTCCATCCCATATACTGCTCCGGAATTGTGCAGCTTAAAAGAAGGGGATCAATTGCTGCTGCACCCGAGCATTGACGTGTGGGCGTTTGGAGTCCTGTTGTACACAGCTATGACCGGCTCATATCCTTGGAAAGAAGCAGAGGGTCATGACCCCATGTATCGGGAGTTTGCTTGGTGGCAAACGAAGAAAGATCTAACCTTGGCACCAGGAAAGTGGCAACAATTCTCCATTGAAGCCAGGCAGATGTTTTGGGACTTGTTGGCCCTCAATGCTTCTGAGAGGTGTTCTGCTATGGACATTTTAAAATATGTCCACCTGCCATGGAAAGCAAAAATGCCTCCAGAGAATCTAACCAGGAAAACGGTCATACATGTGATATAATAGAGTGCATGATGTCCATTGTGGTGCCTCATCAAGTGCTGCCTCATCAAGTGCTGCCTCATACAAGACTCATGTCCTAGGGGAAGGTAAGTCTAAATCTTAGGACTGCTGGCTTTTTTCTGTAGCTGGTCACATGTTTGCTTATCTACTGTAATTGCTGATTTCAGGAATACTAACTCATAGCGTAGGAAAACCGTATATAATGAGCCACAGAAGCACAGATCTAATTGGACCACATGTCCACTTCTTTCCACCACAGTTCTCAAAAGCAATTTCACTATTCAAACATATACCATTCTAAAGCTATAACACCGATGTATGCTTACATGGTACCTACACTAATTACACATTCATTCTATTTGGCTTTAGTCTCCCAATGCTTCCCCTGCCTAAGAAAATATTATATGGTCAAATTACGGGACCCTCTGCTCCAGGGCCACAGAGCAGCTAATGGCATGGTTATACTACATAGAAATTACATTGCACTTCTTCTCACCATTGATTTTATTGTTCTCCTTAAATGGCCTTAAAACTCATTTCCAGTTTTCTTCTTTCATGTGGTAGGAGGGGGGCCTGTTTACAAAAACAAGCAATGTTCTTCCTCCCCAAGCTCTAGTGCTGCCCCATATTGTCTTTGCTCCAGATTCGGTCTTTTTCCAGGATTTGACACCCAATGTTATGCAACATCTTCTGTGAGCTGACAGGGAAATGATTCAGGGAGCCAAGCTCACCGCATCACATGAGCCCAGTTCTCTGAGCAGCATTCAGGACCTGTTCCTGCTGCTGGAGGATGATGAGGGAAACACATGTCAATCATATGTCCAGCCCGGCCAGCAAGAAAAAAAGACAGATTTAAATAAAGCTCCTAAACATGTGTACTATATTAGAACAAATTGACATTTTTTACATTTTGTTGGTTTTCTTTTCACTTTTTTTTGTTCATTGTCAAGTGTATTGGAATGTGTGTTCTGCAATCCTTCTGTACAAGGCATATATGGTAAGTATAATATTGTCATAATAAATGAAGACTTTAATGACTCTATTGCAGTATGGACTGAGGAATCCTTGGATACATTGATGGAATGATGTTACATTACCGAGCCTGAGATCAGCAAGCCCCCCCCCCCCCCCCAGCTGCATAGTGTAGTAACTTTTGCTAATCTGTGGTTACTCCTCCTGTGCACTGGGTGGTGCTCTTGTGCTTCTTCACCTCTGGTTTATTCAATATTGTATTATTATGTTTATACAGCATATATGACTATTACTAATACTACTATCACTTTATACTACTTAGTAGATGTACATTTAAAAGTCCCAATCCAATACTTTCATAGGACAATAAAACCATGACTACCCATATTCTTCAACTACCATAATATGGCCCGTCATGAAACATGGCACAAGTCACATGCTGAAAAGGAGTCATGGGAGTGGCTTACTGAGACGATGACATGGCTGATGGGAGTCTGGATGGGGAACTCAATGGATTTACCTTCTGAAAGAGGGATTCCAGCATACATTGTGCTTGGAGCTCGGTATAGGGAGTGTTTAACCCCGCGGGGTCCCAGGAGGACACATTGTAATGTCAGTGGATACATATTGGGTGAAATAAAGGCTATTTCTGGTAGACACATACTACACTATATTCAGCGTTTTCTACATGAATGCGGAGTGGATTGGATCTACATAAAAGTGCCGCCAGAGAGTGGGAAGATCTGGGTACCATGATACCTACCGGGATACAAGGGAAAAGTCCAGTCTGACCCGTCATTATGGGTCCAACTTGGAGGTGAGCACAGAAGTGTGTTGGAGGGTGGAAGAGCACTGAGGGGGGATACAGGAGCACCGGACACTGGTATACAGCAGTGTGACAACACCGCTCCACGGGAAGGTACTGCCGATTTAAAGGGACAGTTCACTATAACTGCCATTGTATGAAGTTGCAGCATTTCTGTTGTATTTCTATCACAAAGCACTGCTGATGTTCTAGAATTTATGGGGTTTATATGTCCTTATCGGAATAGATGATGAGTAGCATATATTGACCATCACAAGCACAGAAGAGTGTTCCTGATTGTCACTACTGAAAGACGCACTTAGGAGGATGCAGGTAACACAACAAGCGCCATTCTATTCATCTCATTGCTGCGCTGCATTTTATTACTATTGGACTTTGTTATATGTGGGAACACATCACATGCTAGCTGCACATTCATTAGGAGGCATTTATTGTGCTGAAGGTTTTCTATACAGGGAGGCAGCTTACTCCAGTCCAGCAGTGTTCATTTCATCCACAAAAACATTTGTGTCATAATTCTCATGAGCGGCATATCTCCAGTGATGGAAATGAAATGAAAATGACCCCAAATTTTTGTCAATTGATGAAAAAACTATGAGGAAAAACAATTCCATTTTTATCAACAAAACGAAAACAGAATGACAATGTGAGGGAGGGATGTTTACCCACGTGGACTTCCAGTTTCCTTGGAGCTCCGTCTGTAAAGCCTGTGAGGGCTTCCCCTCCCAGCAAGCAAGGTAGTGACTGTAGAATGCTTAGTGGTGTGGGGTGCTTAGCACTGTGTGCATTACAGGCCTCCTCAGATGACCATCCAGAGCACTGTGTGCATTACAGGCCTCATTCAGATGACCATCCAGAGCACTGTGTGCATTACAGGCCTCCTCAGCATGACCATCCAGAGCACTGTGTGCATTACAGGCATGACCATCAGAGCACTGTGTGCATTGACATCCAGAGCACTGTGTGCATTACAGGCCTCCTCAGATGACCAGCCAGAGCACTGTGTGCATTACAGGCCTCCTCAGATGACCATCCAGAGCACTGTGTGCATTACAGGCCTCCTCAGATGACCATCCAGAGCACTGTGTGCATTACAGGCCTCCTCAGATGACCATCCAGAGCACTGTGTGCATTACAGGCCTCCTCAGATGACCATCCAGAGACTGTGTGCATTACAGGCCTCCTCAGATGACCATCCAGAGCACTGTGTGCATTACAGGCCTCCTCAGAGAGCACTGTGTGCATTACAGGCCTCCTCAGATGACCATCCAGAGCACTGTGTGCATTACAGGCCTCCTCAGATGACCATCCAGAGCACTGTGTGCATTACAGGCCTCCTCAGATGACCATCCAGAGCACTGTGTGCATTACAGGCCTCCCAGATGACCTCCAGAGCACTGTGTGCATTACAGGCCTCCTCAGATGACCATCCAGAGCACTGTGTGCATTACAGGCCTCCTCAGATGACCATCCAGAGCACTGTGTGCATTACAGGCCTCCTCAGATGACCATCCAGAGCACTGTGTGCATTACAGGCCTCCTGACCATTCCAGAGCACTGTGTGCATTACAGGCCTGCATTACAGGCTCCTCAGATGACCATCCAGAAGACTGTGTGCATTACAGGCCTCCTCAGATGACCATCCAGAGCACTGTGTGCATTACAGGCCTCCTCAGATGACCCTGCCAGGCCTCCTCATTACACCATCCAGAGAGCACTGTGTGCATTACAGGCCTCCTCAGTTGACCATCCAGAACACTGTGTGCACTACAGGCCTCTCAGAGACCATCCAAAGCACTGTGTGCATTACAGGCCTCCTCAGATGACCATCCAGAGCACTGTGTGCATTACAGGCCTCCTCAGATGACCATCCAGAGCACTGTGTGCATTACAGGCCTCCTCAGATGACCATCCAGAGCTGTGTGCATTACAGGCCTCCTCAGATGGCCATCCAGAGCACTGTGTGCATTACAGGCCTCCTCAGATGGATGGCCATTCCAG